GGTCGCTTTTCCTCTGTCTCCAGCCCCCAGCCCCGCAGCCGTCATCCTTCCTCTTCCAGTGATACCTGGAGCCACTCTCAGTCTTCTGAGACTGTTGTGTCTGACGGTTCCACCCTCTCCTCAAAGGGGGGTTCTGAGGGTCAGCCAGAGGGCTCTGTGGCCAGCAGTAGTATGGCACCAGCTCCCCAGGGGGGCAGTGGGAGGGGTTCCCCTAGTGGGGGCAGCACTGCCGAGGCCTCAGACACAGTCAGCATTCGGAGCAGCGGGCAGTTGTCTGGCCGGAGTGTTTCCCTGCGGAAGCTGAAACGGCCTCCTCCACCTCCTCGCCGGACCTACTCCCTCCATCAGCGGGGCTCCGAGGCACCCGATGGGCCCTTAGGGTTGCCACCTAAGCCTGAGCGGAAGCAGCAGCCGCAGCTTCCCCGGCCACCCACCACAGGTGGGTCAGAAGGGGTGGGTGCAGCACCTTGTCCACCCACCTCGGCAGGTAGTAGCTGGGTGCCTGGCTTGTCTCCTGGTGGCACCCGGCACCCGCCACGATCCCCAGAACGGACACTTTCACCCTCCAGTGGATACTCGAGCCAAAGTGGTACCCCGACCCTACCTCCCAAGGGTCTGGCAGGTGCCCCTGCTTCCCCAGGCAAGGCCCAGCCTCCTAAACCAGAGAGGGTCACTTCCCTTCAGTCTCCTGGTGTCTCTGTCTCCTCTTCCCTCACGTCTCTGTGCTCCTCCTCCTCTGATCCTACTCCCTCAGACCGCTCTGGTCCACACATGTCCATCCCCCTGAGTGATAGGTTTGTCATACCTCCTCACCCCAAGGTGCCTGCCCCCTTCTCTCCTCCTCCTCCTTCTAAGCCCAAGAGCCTTAAAAAAGCTGCCCCTACTTTGGCCACTCCTGCTGTGGTTCCTGGGCCTATCTCTACCACTGATACTAGTCCTGAGTCTCTTCCCACTCCCCAGATATCTCTGGTCCCACCCCAGGAGTCTCCTGTTATCTCCAAAGATCAGTCACCGCCACCATCCCCACCCCCATCTTACCATCCACCCCCACCACCTAGTAAGAAACTAGAGGTGGTTGAGGAGGCCCCAACTGCCCTAGAGACTGAGGAGCCCCTCCCAGACCCCAACTGGCCCCCACCCCCACCCCCTACACCTGAGGAGCAGGATCTGTCCATGGCTGACTTCCCCCCACCTGAGGAGGCCTTTTTCTCTGTGGCTAGCCCTGAGTCTGCAGTAGCCCCCGGGCCTGTCAGCTCCCTGGCTGCCTCCCAGAGCCAGCCCCAGGGGACCCCAGACCCTCCTCCAGCCCCACCAGCCCCACCCGCAACTAGTTCTGTCCCGGAGCTGGTCAGACTCCCTCAGAAGGAGCCAGTAGGCTGCAACAAGAGCAATGGGGCTTCCAGGGACGAAGCTGGTGTGCCCCTGGTCACCCCTTCACTCCTGCAGATGGTGCGGCTGCGCTCTGTGGTCGCTCCCACAGGTGCTCCAGCCTCTGCATCAGGGCTATCAGCCCCCCAGAAGCCGCTGCGAAGGGCCCTGTCAGGTCGGGCTAGCCCTGTGCCTGTCCCCTCTTCCGGGCTCCATGCTGCCGTCCTACTCAAGGCCTCCAGCCTGGCTGCCAGTGAGGGCCTTGGAAGTGCCCAGCCCAATGGACCACCGGAGGCTCGGCCACAGTCTCCCCAGTCTCCTGCCTCAACAGCCAGCTTCATCTTCTCCAAGGGCACTAAGAAGCTACAGCTTGAACGGCCAGTGTCCCCTGAGGCCCAGGCTGACCTCCAGCGGAATCTGGTGGCTGAACTTAGGAGCATTTCAGAGCAGCGGCCACCCCAGTCCCTGAAGAAGCCACCGAAGGCTCCCCCACCTGTGGCCCGCAAGCCCTCGGTGGGAGTCCCCTTACCTGCTTCTCCCAGTTTTCCTCGGGCTGAACCCATAACTGTTCCTCCTACCAATGGGCTCCCTCATGCTAAGGACAGGACTAAGGGGGAGCTGGCAGAGAACGGAGACGTTGTGCAGCTGGTGGGCCCAGAGGAGAAGATGGGTCCCCCAGACTCAGGTATAGTGCGCAGTGGTGGGTGTGGGTCCTGTCACTGATGGTAGGAAATAAATATTTGAAGTTCTACCACTGGGCATTTGCTTTTGGGTCTTTGAGATGGTTAATTTTTACAACAAAAGGGAACAAAACAAAAATAACTGGATTTAGGAGGCCTGGGACAGGTGAATTGTCACTCCAACTACAGGAAAAGGAACATGAGGGTGGGGCTTTGACCTCAGACCTACCAGGTGTATTCCAACCTTATCATTTTGTCTTATCCTAGTGCTATGAAGTGTGGGACAGTGACACCTACTTTACAGTGTCTGAGTCAAGTTTCTAGCTGCTGTCACTGGTGTCTGTCAAGTGAGAGTTTAGGGAAAGACTGGGTGAAAGTGTGCTTGGGCTCTCAGTGTCTGAACCAAACCGGGCGCCCCTTACTAAATGTTCCTTTTTCTCTCACAGACCCACAGAAAGAGCTGGTCTGACCATGCACTGGCACTGCTGACCCATCCCAGGAATACAATCTCTCAGGGACCTGAGCAGCTCCAAGGACGAGAGGACAGCAGACACAACCTAAGAGAGGACGCCTGCAGCCTTAACCTCCACAGCCTTCGATATTTATGCAAGCCTGGTGTCGCCCGTCCTCCAGATCACCCAGCTCTCATGCCTTTCCCCTCAAAGGACTCGCCTCCAGCAGCTGCCCCTTCAGCCTTGGCCTTAGCCTCATCATGAAGGAGGTAGCTGGTGGGAGTGGGTGACTGCGCCCCCTGCTGGCCCTGAGGCCACAGAGACGGGAGCAGAACACTTCATGTGTCCCCCCCCCCAAGTCCAAATCATGCACATATTGTAGTCCAGAATCAAAGCACTTTTGTGAAGTGGCTGCATGTCCATCCTCCAGGGCTTGTGAAGCCACTGTTCCAAGGGTCTGTTTACATGGTGGCAGCATCAATCCCTGGGTACCAGCCCATTGCTGGGACCAAACTGTCCCTCCTCCCCAATCCAGTTCGCTCCTTTCTTAGTTCTTAGAGGTGGGCAAGTCACATTCCCAAAGGCTCCTCGAGGCTGGGGGCAGGAATGGGGCTGTGGAATTCCAAAGCACAAAAGGTGCAGTGGGGGTAGCCTTCCTGTGCCTCAGTTTACCACCAACTTCCTGCCTTCCAGCTCTGCCAGGTGCTTCATGCAGGGGACAAGAATTAGGGGACTCCCAGGCTCTAAATGGGTGTGGGGAGGAAGAAGGAGAGGGCAGGTTTGCAGGCTCTGTCCTCACAAGCAAATCACAGTAGCAGGTCATCTCAGCAGGTCCTTCGCATGCCAGGCATCTGCCCCTTGTTTGATTGATCCAGCAGACAGTTTCAGAGGCAGGGCCCATGGGCTGTGTCCTTTTCAGTTTCACAGGGAGTACTGAGACAGGAAGGGAGATCTGGCAGGGGAGCTTATTTGGGCAGTAGCCCAGGTCTGGCCCTTGCACCTTATTTTCTGACCTTTCTCTACTCTTTGGTGCATGTCCTTCTTGCCATTCAGTATGGGTGATTCCACAGGGGGAGCTGATTTGAGTGGCAAGAATGGGAAGCCAGAGGTGCAGTCTTACTCTAAAACCTTCCCTTATCAGAGGGAGCTGGGTGGCTCTTCCTACATGTCAGCCTCTGCTACTGATCGCTCCTCCAGGAGTTTTAATGACCTTTCTGTTTTTAGCTTGTGTGATCTATCTAGGTCAGGTGGCTTCCTCATTGGTCCCCTTGGCTCCACAGGGGTGCCTCCAGTACCTCCGTGCACAGCAGTGTGGCTGCTCCCCAGGGCCATCCCTTCTTGATCCTCTTTTCTCAGCAGTGACTCAGCCTTGAGCCTGGCAAGGAACCTTACTTTTAGCTTCTCCACTACTACAGACAGTGACACACTGGCCCATGCCACCTACCCCTGGGAATGGGGGTGTGTGGGCCTGGGTTCCTCTGGCTGCCACTCTGGGGTTTCTTTGGTTTGCCACTGTTGACTTCTCCAAGTGGCTACAAACCAGCATCTTTCCCTTGCCCCATGGATAATGGGGAGCTGTTGCTGGTATATGTTGCACCTGTCCAGTGAGTAGGGGAAGGCAATCAGTAAGTACTCTTCTGCTTGGAGCTTCTGATCCACCCCACCCCAGGACCCAGAACCCAGGAGCAGTCAAAGCCCCATGAAACTAGGCCTTCAGAACTGCTGGAGGTGGAGGGAGCCTGCCTCCTCTTTATTCCCATGTTACTGGAGCTCTTATCCTCAGTTGGGATTTTCTGAGCTTGTTCCCCCACCTGGTGGACCAGAGCACAAAGGAGAGGGGGGAATCTAGAAGAGGCAACTCTCCTTTGTTCTCTGGGGTGAATGAGCTTGACCTCGTGCAAATGGAGAGACCAAAAGCCTCTGATTTTTAATTTGCATAAAAATGTTAGAAGAGAGAAGTATATATATATATATATTTCTTTAAATTTTCGAGTCTTTGATATGTCTATACAAACAATCCATTCCCTCTGCCCTGAAGCTTGAGGGGTGAAAAAGCTCTGTGTTTCATTTAAAAGGTGTTAATTAATTAATTAAATGATTGAAACTTGGCTGTGACTGCTGCTTCCCGACCTTCCACATCCATCAAATGGGCAATATGTTCTCAATGGCTAACACTGGTAACTAGGTGTGAGGAAAGCTCTCCTGACACACTAGTGTGAAAACTCAGTCACCACACTAATCAACCACAAAAGGATTTGGCTGCTGCTGCTGCTGAATGGGGGTGGAGCAGGGCAGGGCAGTGGTCTCTGCCAATATTTAGAAGGGAAAATGTTCTGCTTGCTGCGCTTAGCACTACCAAAGGGAAACCAAAGGTATCTGCCATCCACCAGTTCCCCCAACTGTCCCATTACAATACCAAACTTACAAGATACAAGCAACCCCAGGCTGGGAGAGGGACCCAGCAGCTGCTTCACACTTAGAGACAGTCCCCATCCAGACATACATGTTCAGACCATTTTATTTGAATTTGACAGTGATGATTAGTGATTCGATTTTCTCGCCTTATAGAGAAATGACCTCACTCTCTCTGAAGACACACGCCATGCCATCCATGCTAACTAACAACACAGCTGGTTTAGGGAGTGTCTCAGTCTGGCTGGATCAAGAGGAATTCCAGGAGCCCTGGGGCAGGCCCTGTCTCCCACCAACACCAAGCCCCAGAGTAGGCAGGCAGTGTGAAAGCTGCCAACCACTTGATAGACCACTAGGTTCTCTATTTTCCCTTCTCTTTGCTTTTCAAATCCCACAATTTCCTGTTGGGGAAGAAACTGTAATTAGCCCAGTCCAGGCACCAGATTCCAGCTAGAGGCACAGCTGCTGGGATAACTCCAAAAAACCTGGGAACCAATGTTTTTCCAATTACAAGGATTGTGGCATAAACTTTTTCTGAGTTATATTGAAACCAGAATTCTTGAGTCAGCTGCCAAAGGAAGCTGGTAAAACTGGGTTCCCTACCGCTGCCTAGCCCCACTTACCACCCAGGGGCAGGGGGTTGTTTCAGTCTCACTGTACCAGATGGGATGAGTCCAGATTCTGGGGAGGTATGCTGCCCCTTACCCAGTTTTGCACTTAAGAAAGAGTCCAAGACCTGCTGCTTCAATGTCCTTAGAGATGGGCAAACAGGTGACAAATGGAACAAACTTGAGACAGCAGAAGACTCAGGACGGTGGAAGTAGGGAAGATGCTGGGCTGGCTAGCTGATATTCCCTCCTTTCAGTGTTTTACAGGAAATGTTTCCCAGCTTGGTCATGAAGTTGGTTTGCTTCCACTGTGCAATGCACTCATCAGAAATCTTAAAGTCAATCTGATTAAGATAGAGGAAAAAAAAGTTGTTAACAGTGGTGGTTGAGATCCCAAGGAAACTTATATTACTCTAGTGTAACCTGACTCAGCTTTTCTAAGAATAATTTGTCAAAGCTTCCAAGTTCATATCTTTTGTCTCAGGTAAGTTCATTTTAGAGATTTAGTTTAAGAAAATAATCATGAAAAATTAAGTACAAAGATCTCTGTATAAGACATCCAGCATAACATTCTTTGTGTGTGTGTGGTGTGGTGTTGGGGATAGAACCCAGTGCCTCATGCATCCTCTACCACTGACTGACAACCCAGCCCACTGTAACATTCTAATAGTGAAACAATGAGAACACCCTCAATGGCTAGTAAAGTCTTAAATTATGTTAACTGTCATAAACTGCTGTGTAGTGTGACCTCAGTATTTAAGATATAGAAAGTCTGGGAGCATAAAGTAGAAAAAAAATTCAGTACTGGGGATTGAACCATAGACTTTTACCACTCAGCTATATCCCTATTATCCCAGACATTTTTTTTGTCCTTTTTCATTTTGAGACACAGTCTTGCTAAACTGCCATGGCTAGCCTGGAACTTGGGATCCTCTTGCTTCAGCCTCTGAAGTCACTGGGATTATAGGTGTGTGCCACCGTATCTGACTAAAACAGAAAACTTTCAGTATGAATCAAACTGAAAATCCATTTTATGCAGAGCAAAGGACCAAAAGGAAATAATAATTTCATTTTTTAAGTTTCTCTTTGGCAGGACTATGGATATCTTATCTTGATTATTTATTTTATAATACTTGAGATTGAACCTAGGCTTCTGGGCTGGGGATGTGGCTCAAGCGGTAGCACACTCGCCTTGCATGCGTGCGGCCCGGGTTCGATCCTCAGCACCACATACAAACTAAGATGTTATGTCCGCCAAATACTAAAAAATAAATATTAAAATTCTCTCTCTCTCCCCCACTCTCTCCCTCTCTCTCACTCTTTCTTTAAAAAAAAAAAAAAAAAAAAGAACCTAGGCTTCTTTACCAGGGGGCTACATCTGTAGCCATTTTAAATTTTGAAATGGTCTCACTAAGTTGCTGAGGCTGGCCTTGAACTTGCAACTCTCCTGCTTCAGCCTGCAAGACACTGGGATTCAGGGATGCACCATGGTGTCTGGCTGGATATTTTATTTTCTTCATTACCCCCATCTATATTTTAGACCTTTCTACCATGAAAATTTTATTTTATAGCCAGAAAAAAAATAAGTGATTCATAGTTACCATAAAAACCCATTTGCTACATACAGGAGAGGCACACTGTTTAAACACCTCCAGAAGCATTTTGAGGAAACAGGTATTGAAAAAGGCACACGGGGGTGTTAGTTCCATGAGAGGCAAGTTTTGCTGTTTTGTTCAGTGATGTAGCCCAAGCTCCTAGAATAGTGCCTGATACATATTATGGATTTAACATTTGCTAAATGAGTGAATGAATGAATTCAGAGATCACTGGGGCAGACCATATGTGAGTTAGTGTCCAGAAGGCAAGGAGAGAATGAGTATCCAAGGGTCAAGGTGGGGAGAGGGACCCTACAAGGGTCTTTGTTTGTTTATTTATTTATTTATTGGCACTAGGGACTGAACTCAGGGATGCTTTACCACTGAGCTATATCCCCAAGCCCTTTTAATTTTTTAAAAATTTCTGACAGGGTCTCACTAAGTTGCTCAGGGTCTTGCTAAATTGCTGAGGCTGTCCTCAAACTTGTGGTCCTCCTGCTTAAGCCTTCCCAGTTGCTGGGATTATAGGTGTGAGCCACCATGCCTGGCCCTAGGAGGGTTTTGATTCTGGCTCCATCTTTTACTTTTTCTTCTTCTTCTTCTCGTTTGTGATGGGGATGGAACCCGGGGCCTCTTGCAGGCTAGGCAAACACTCTACCACTGAGATGCAGCACCAGCCCTTGGCTCCATCACTTTTGGCTTTGGCAGATATCCTGTCAGGTAAAATGGAGATAATCTCCATCTCCTGTCACAGCCTGGAGATAAATAAGAAGTGTCTGAAGTTTCTTACATAGTGCCTCAAATAGCCTGTCAAAGCTCGGTACATGAGAGGTCCTTCTGAGACCTCCAGGCCCCTCAGACATCTCACTTACAGGAAGGTCTGGGATGAAGAAAGCCGAAGTCCCATTGGGACTGAGACAGCTGTGGATTCACTAACAAAGAAGAGTAGGGACAGGGCCCAGTAGCAGGCAAAAGGGAACAATGTAGCATTTACCTGTAACTTTTCGAAAACTTTCTTCTTGGGCTTAAGTTCTTCATCTGGTTGGCCCTTCTCATAGCCCTTAACAAACACTCGCTCACCAGGAGCAGAGCCTGCAGGAGGGTCCAGAGGTTCAACCTGGCGGCTTTCCCCTTCTCTGAGAAGACACACAGGACAAAGGAAGGGTGAGGCTACAGATGGCTTCCCAGGGCTGTGGAAGCCAAAGTGATCTGGGCCTTTCCAAAGGGCCCTAATGGGATTTAGAACATCTTCAAAGCCATGGCCCCAGGAGGTCCTCATTACTTTGGCACATCTTTGGACATCGCCAGTTTAGATTAAATGGGGCTATTAAATTCCTATGTTAGAAGAGATAACCAAATCTGGATCTCCAGAGGAAGTATGAAATAATGCAGTAAAGACTTTACAGCCAATCAGAACCCGGTTTGAATCTTGCCTCCAGCTCTTAACTGATAGTAAGGCATGGGCAAGTGCACACCTCCATTTCTGTTTTAACAAAATCAACTTGGGTAGTGTCTCATTCATGATACTTGAGTAACTCCTTCAGACATCACTTTTTTGGCATCAATGAGGTGTGTTTTCTCAGGGCTTCCACCAGGCATCATAGGGTCCAGCTCCCCGCTCTTGGCCTCCCCAGATCCTGAGCCCCATCTAGTCCTTACTCACATGGAGGCACACAGAAGCATGCCTTGGGACTCAACTCCTCTCATCTTCTGGGGTTTCAGGTTGCACAGCACCACCACAAGCCTGTTCTGTAGTTCCTCCTTGGGCACAAATTGTACCAGGCCGCTCACCACAGTCCGTGGTTCAGCTTCCCCCACATCAATCTTCTCCACATACAGGCTGTCTGCATCTGGGTGCTGCCAGCAAGAGATATCAGGTGCGAGAGTATCCCAGTAGAGCAGATCGGGGCCCAGTGAACTCTTGTCTCCAAAAAGGGATATCTGCTCCTTACAGAGTCCCATGGAGGGACCCTCTAGAGGTAACTATTTCCAGATCCCCAGACAGCAGATAGCAGAGGCCTTGAAGGTATATTCTACTCCCAACCAAGAGGCCAAATTTGAGAAAATGAATATAATTGCTTCTGGAAGAATTTCTATCAGAGATTAAATGAACCGAACTGTTAGTGGCTACCACTATGGCACACATGCTACACCAGTGTGTCCCAAGTGACTGGGAGGTGGGAAGGTAAGTGTTGGCTTCATCATCTGAGGCAGGAGCATCAACAGTCATTTCAAGATAGTGTGTGTAAACCAAGTCAATGCTGGGAGCAGAGGGTGGGGTCGGGGGTGTCTGGGGCATGTAGAGGTTGGAGGGAGGGTGAAAAGGTCAGGATGGTCCCCAGCAGCTGACTTCGTGACCTTCTGTCTCTGGGAAAAAGTGAATCATCTTCTCTCTACCACTGTCTGAGGGGCAGGCAATGTGGCTAATCCAAGATAAGGCTTGCAACTAGTCTAGGCAAGCTGCTACAGACAGGAAAGCCCATCAGGTCAGTTTTAACGGGTAAACAAGTTCCCTCTGACATCTGCCTCCTGCATTCAGTTCCTGGCTATGTTTGGCAATGGAAAGCCTGATGCCTGGAAGGAGACACTGGGGTTCTGACTTGCAACATGACCTCAGAGATGTTACTTGCCCTCTCTAGACCAGGTTTCTTCCAGAAGGAAACAGACAAACCTGACCCCCGTCTCTGCTTCTCCGGAATGTGGTGAAAAATGAGTACCTTCTCTACACTGATGATTTTCCCCACGCGGATATCCAGCCGGGATGGGATAACTTCCTCTGGTTCTGAATTCTTGGCAGGGCCTTTGGCAATGGCCTCTGGGAATGAGAAGAACACCATGGGGTCAAGATCCACTCCCTGCTCCCATGGAAGGTCAGCTGCTAATCTCACCAGATGAGAACACAAGATTAGGCAAGATTTAGTAGAGAATCCCCAGAACCTACCCACTAACTTATGCTTTAAAACAGGGTTGGCAGTCTTTCAGAAATGACATGCCAGATTTTCATCTACTCTCTCCCTCAGTTGATAGGTTGGAAGTGAGGGGACTGTAAAGCTTTGCCACCTTTGGGTGTTTCCATTCATGCATTCCACATAGGATTTACCGAGCCTTTTCTGGAAAGGTCACATAAAATTGTCAGTGCCAATATCTCAAGTGAACAGTGGACTAAGAGCCAGAAGAAGCCAGGGAATTCGGAGATCCTAAAGATGAAGTATTTTTGTTTTTTTTTTTTGGTGGAGGGTACAAGGGATTTAATTCAGGGGCACTTTACCACTGAGCTACATCGCCAGCCCTTTTTACTTTGAGACAGGGTCTCACTAAGTTGCTTAGGGTTTCACTAAGTTGCTGAGGCAACTTGTGACCCCCCTGCCTCAACCTCCTGAATTGCCGGGATCACAGGTGTGTGCCACTACACCCAGCTAAAATTGAGCTCTTGTAAGAGGCTCTGCAGGCTCTATAACAGCTTTTCACCCTACATACATATTAGGTGTACCGGGTTTATTTAACCCAATCACTCTCCTACTGAAGCAGCAGATTTAGTGAACACAGACTAGAAGGATCTAAGTACATGTCTCCCATCTGCCTCTTTTAAGATGCTGGTGCAGTAGGACATAATCACTTTATGGAATCTACCAAACCCAATCAAATCAAATCAAATCTTAATCCAGGAGTTAGTGCAATAAGACAGTTTTGCACTTGAAACTGGATTCTTGGGTCCTCCTTTTATAAGATAGACATGTTTCTAAGACCCATTGACAGGCTCTTTTCTGAAACTGTAACCTGTTTCCTGGCCCTTCCCGACCCCAGTGGGCCTTACTCTGCTTTGAGGGATCAGGGTAGGCAGCACTGGCCAACTTCTTCAGGGCAGGGGTATTAAACTTCTCCCGAATGGGATCTAGCAACTTGTTCAGGGCGACTTCAACTGAATTCTTTAGGTCTCCAGGGTGTACGACCTGCAGAAGTAAATAAGACCTGATGAGATGAGGACTGGAACAGGACAGAGGACACCAGAATCTACTAAAAATGTGCATATAGAATGAAGGGAGTGTTTTCCCAGCAGAAAAGGGGAAATAGATTTAGAAAGGCTAACTTGTCTGAAATCCAGGTCTTTTGATTTTGAGCTCCATATGAATTTGAGGGCTTTTAGAGGCTGAATGTATTTATTAGTCTAATTCTTCTACCATCTTCATTTATGCTTAGAGCAGTGGCAAAAACCACATGCTGCTCATAGGCAGGAAAATATTTACATGGGTAACCCAAAACACTGAAGAATGACTAAGACAGAAGGAAGAAAAAGGGCTTAGGTTAGACTAGGTTAGACTTCCAGATAGGTATGTGACACGGAACAAGGCACTTACCCACCCCTAACTTTCAACTTCTTATAAAATGAGGATAACAATAGCTGTTTCTCATATTCAGAATGAAAATAAAATCATATAATGTGGATAAAATGGTGAGAGCAGTGTTGGTCTGTTAGTACTGGTTAAACATCCCTCTTTCTAAAACTTTTTTTGGCAGTAGGACTGGGGATTGTACCTAGGGCCTCACATATCCTAAGCAAGCCCTCTACCACTGACCTACATCCCCGGCCCTTTTTATTTTTTCAGAGACAGTGCCTCACAAAGTTGCCCAGGTTAGCCTTGAACTTTTGATCCTTACTTCAGCCTCACAAGTAGCTGTGATTACACATGTGCACCACTATACCTGGCTAGATTGAGCATCCCTGACATGCAAACTTGAAATTCAAAATACTCTAAAATCTTAGCAGGGGCTACGGTTGTGGCTCAGTGATAGAGCGCTCCCCTAGCATGTGTGAGGCCCTGGGTTCAATCCTCAGCACCACATAAAAATAAATAAATATGGGTGACTCAAAATGGGATAGGGAGGAAGAGCAGAAGAAGATTACCACTAAATAGGGAAGAGAGGTGGGAGGGAAAAGGAGGGAGAAGGGGAATTGCACGGAAGATGGAAGGAGACCCTCATTATTATAAAGAATACATGTATGATGTTGTGAGGAGAAAAAGAAAAAAAAAAGTATGTCACATTAGATTGGATAGAGAGAAGTGATAGGAGGGGAGGGGAAGGGAAGGGGGGATAGGAAGGGCAGCAGAATAAAATAGACATTATGATTGCTGTATGTATATAGGTGACTGTATGACCAGTGTGATTCTGCAATCTGTACAATCAGAAAAATGAGAAATTACACCCCATTTGATTCAAATGTATGAATTGCCAAGATCATTGTAATGTCATGTATAGCTAATAAAATAAATAAAGAAAGGTATTGTGTCCAAATATGACTAAAAAATAAATATTAAAAAAAAAATCTTAGCAGGATGACACAAGGGAAAAAAAATCCACATCTGACCTCATATGATGGTTTCCAGTCAAAAATAGGCACACTAAAAACATTGCATAAAATCACCTTTGGGCTATGCACATAAGTATACATGAAACAAATTAATTTCTTATTTAGATTTGGGTCCCATCCCCCATTAAGTATATGCAAATATTCCAAAATCTGGCTGGGCACAGTAGCATGTGCCTATAATCCCAGCTACTCTGGAGACAGAGGCAGGAGAATCACAAGTTTGAGGACAACCTGGGCAACTTCATAAGACCCTGTCTCAAAATAGTTGAGGATGTTGCTCAATGGTACAGTGCCACTGTTTTTGATCCCCAGTACTGCAAAAAAAATTTAAATATATAGCCAGGTGTGGTGGCACATGCCAGTAATCTCAGCAATTCAGGAGGCTGAGGCAAGAAGATAGAAAGTTCGAGGTCAGCAATTTAGAGAGGCCCTAAACAACTTAGACAAGACCCTGTCTCAAAATAAAAAATAAATAGGGCTGGGGATGTGGTTCAGTGGCTAAGCACCCCTGGGTTGGTTCAATTCCTGGTAACAAAACAAACAAAAATAACCTTGGGGTTGTAGCTCAGTGGCAGAGCACTTGCCTAGCATGTGTGAGGCACTGGGTTCAATTCTCAGCACCACATATAAATAAATGAAAATAAAAGTCCATTGAAAACCCCCCCAAAATTAAAAATAAATGAATCTGAAAAAATCTTAGATCTAAACCTCTCCCAGTTCCAAATATCTCAGATAAGAGAAACTCAATCTAGTTGAGAAATACAATTTTTCTTTTTTTGGGGTACAGGGTATTAAACTCAGGGGCACTCAAACATTGAGCCATATCCTCAGCCCTATTTTGTATTTTATTTACAGATAAATAAAATAGTGCCCAGCTATAAATTCAATTTTTCTTCCTGTGTCCCATGGCTATCTTTTTATACCTTAAATCTGGCCTGAAAGGATTTTTTTTCCTTGGGTATGAATATCTATAATACCGCCAACACTTTAATTTGGCCACCATCCAATATGGTAGCCACTAAGACTTTTGTGGACATTTAAAATTTGTAAATTAAAATGTAGCTCCTGAGTTTCCCTAGCCACACTTTAAGTGCCCAACAGCTGTATGAGGCCAATGGTTTCTGTCTCAGGCAGTGCAGAAAGAACATACCCATACCACAGAAATTGCTATGGGATAACTTGGCTGCTGACCTTTTCTTAGAGGCATTTCATGTATTCCTTTTCAGTATTTCATAAAGGACAACACACAGGGTTGAGGAGAGGAGTGTGGCTTCTGTGGCCTGCCTCAGATGGCAGAAGGAAGGGTTTCAGAGTAATTGCTGTAAAACATCAGAAAATGGGCCAGACAGGCCTCCAGACCTCAGGTCAAGTCTTTCCCTCTATTTAATGCTCAATCAGGCATTCACCATTGCCTCCAAGTGGTTCTCTAGCTGCTTCTTGCTCACTTCCAGTGAAGGGGAAGCCATCTTGCTGTGGTCCTCACCCACAGTCCTGCTTTAGCTCTTAGGTGCTTCACCTACATCTTGTGACATGGTTTTGAGATTATTCCATCATGACATTCCTCCTTCCCCAACCAACATGTCCCAGCTTGAAGTCCAGGACAATAACATCACACTCAGAACAGTGAACAGAAGGGCTCACTTCCCTGGTTCTAGATTCAACATTTCTTTTTTTTTCTTCTTGGTACTCAAGATAGAACCTAGAGGTGCTTTAGCATAGAGCTGTCTTTACAATCCTTTTTAATTTTTAATTTTGAGAGAGGGTCTTACTGAATTGCTCAGGTTGGCCCCGAACTTGTGATCCTCTCACTTCAGCCTCCTCCTGAGTCTCTGGGATTAAAGGCATGTGCACCACACCAGCTTGGACTGAACATTTCTGGACATAGCCCAAGAGTCAATGTAAACATTTCTTTCCTTTTTTTTTTTTTTGGTGGTACTAGGGATTGAACCCAGGGACTGCATGCCAAGAAAGTGCTCTACAGCTGAGTTACAACCTCTGTCCCCTTGACTTTTTTGGTGTGGTACTGAGGATTGAACCCAATGGTACTCTACCACTGAGCTATACTCCAAGTGCCCCCCCCTTTTTTATTTAGTTGCAGATGAACACACAATTATCTTTATTTATTTTTATGTGTTGCTGAGGATTGAACCCAGTTCCTCATACATGTGAGGCAAGCACTTTTCCACTGAGCTCCAGCCTCAGCCCCTCCAAGCCCTTTTTTATTTTTATTTTGAGGCAGGGTCCCAGTAATGCCAAGTCTGCCCCCCAACTTACAATTCTCCTGTCTCAGCCTCCCGAGTTGCTGGGATTACAGGTATGTGTCACCACACCTAGGCTTGTTCATATTTCTAACAGCCTATCAAACTGTTGATTTAACCTAAGTTCACAATGGATCAAAACCCCATTTTATTTCCTATTTGCTATTATTACGTCTGTCTTCTCTTTGTGACCTTCCCCTGCCTATCTTCCTACAACGCCCTACCTCACCTCTAGTAGACTAAATCATGTGTAATTTCTCATCTTACCAACTTTTTACACAATTAATTCCCTCACAAATTTTCTCATGATTTCCTATTCTTCAAGCAAAACAGTGCTCAGATATTGTCCTCTCCACAAGCCAGTTAGTTACTTCCTCCTGTTTTACATCTGGACCTTGTATAGCTGTCCTTTGGTATTCATGGGGACAGCACCATTCCCCAAGGATACCAAAACTGGCAGATGCTTGATCCCCTTATATAAACTGGCATAGTATTTGCATATAACCTACATATATCCTTCTGTATAATTTACATAGTCTTTAAACTATCTGTAATATTAATACAATATGAATACTACATAAATAGTTGTCACAATAGTTATTCTGAGTCACATTTCTAGTCCTTTTTATATTTTATGCAGAGACAAATTCTTGCTAAGTTGCTGATGCCAGCTTTGAACTTGTGATCTTCCTGCCTCAGCCTCCTGAGCTGCTGGGATTATAAGTGTACACCATTGTGCCTGGCCCCTGTTATTCTTTTTTGTACATTATTTATATTCATTTGTCTCTGAATACTTCCTCTTGTTGAACCTTTATTCCAGCTTGTCAGGTCCTCTGGAAAGGAGGAAGACGTCAATGTATTAGCTTTGTGCCATTTGCCCATTTAATCTGTGAACCATCTGAATCTTCATCTAGGTCATTAACAAAATACACAGCCCTGGATAGCATAAAGATGGAGGCCTGTGGCACACAATCACAAACCTTGCTAGGCCAAGAGGGAGAGGTTGTCAGAGTTATTGGGGATTAGTATTTCTCTAGTATTACCTCATCAGCAAAGTCCTTTTCCAGATCCAGGTAAGCAGTATAGGTTTTGTTTCCACCCCATTTCTCATCTCGAAGGATCACAAACTCTATAAGAAAAAGGATCTACATCAACAAACACAACTAGTAATAGTAGTAAGCATTCCTAGTCCAAATGCATAGGTATGTGTAGTTATGTATTTTGAACTTTATCATATGACATTTATTTTCTTATTTTTTGGTGATAGGATCAATCTTAGGGCCTCACACATCAAGCTGTGATCTCCCACTGAGCTACACCACCACCCCTATTGTTCTTAAACTGAATGATGAATGGCAATATTGTGTACCCAGCTAGCATCCCAGGTCCTTAAAGGGAAGGATTAAGACTTAGAATTCTTTTGTATTTCTCTAATTTAGCATGTCTGCCTCCACTCTCATTTCAAAGACCCCTGCCTAACCTGATACCCCCTCAGAACCTAGTCTGGTAATGAACCCTAGATAATTAAATGATATCCTACCCTCATTAGTACAAATATATACATGAAATTAGAGTAGAAATTCAGGGCAACCAGTCTCTGGAGGAAGAATCTATGACAAATCACAAGTATAACCACAGCAGAAGTATCTTACCTGACTTGAGGGGGAAGAGCACGTGCTTGATGAAGGACAGAACACCGTTGTTCTCTACGTTGCCTGGTTCACAGAAGGCTTTCTTCAATTTTTTCTTGACATCCTCCTTCCGATCAAGGAGATCAATCTTGGATTCCTACAAACCATGGAGAAGAGGACCTCTTGTGGTTGGAAATGAGAACTAATCTTATATTTATTTATTTATTTTTAATTTTATAAAGATTTTAACATGGGGCTGGGGTTGTGGCTCAGCAGTAGAGTGCTTGCCTAGCATGTGCGAGGCTCTGGGTTCAATCCTCAGCACCACATAAAACAACAAATAAACAAAATAAAGGTATTTTGTTTATTTGTTTAAAAAATAAACATTAAAAAAAGATTTTAACATTAAACAAATAGCACAAAAGCATAATTAATCAAGGTATTCACTTGAATTTTGACATTGGGCAGAATAAACTAATTTTTTCTATGTTCTTCCCAAACTTTGTCTATAGCATACAGAATCGTTATATATTTATACCTAGAGAAGAAATGTCTACCTTGCTTCTTCATATGAGACAATGTCTTAAGTATATCTGAGGGGCTACCTTGTCTTTATTTAGAATTTTTATGCTGTATTATATTCCCAGTTATTAGTGGCATCATAACTTGTTATGATTATATCCTAATTTTTACAAATTATATATAATGCTATATTGAACATCTTTACAGAGGTTGTTTGTCTTCTCTAGGATTATATTCTTAAACTACCTAAAATTGCTAGGTTCAAGATTGTTTTCTTGAAGGTATATCAGTAATGTATGAGGATACCTATTTCATAGCACTCACCAACAGCAGGTGCTAGGGTATGAAAATTTGCCTCCCAGAATTCATATGTTGGAAACTTAACGCTCAAAGTCATATGTTAATGGTATTTAAGGCAGGACTTTTGAGAGGTGACTGGTCATGGGAGCTTTTGCCTTCATGAATGAATTAACTTATTTGTAAATTAATGGATTAATCCACGTGTGGGTTAATTAATGGAAGTTAGGTGTGGTGGCGCATGCCTATAATCCCAGACAAAGGGAACTGAGGCAGGAGAATCCCAAGATCAAGTCTAGTATTAGCAATTTAGCAAGGCCCTGTCTCAAAAGTATTCTGTTGTGCTGGGGTTGTAACTCAGAAGAGTGCATGCCTAGCACATGTGAGGCATTGGGTTTGATTCTCAGCACCACAAAAATACAAATAAAATAAAGGTCCATCAACAACTAAAAAATACTTTTTAAAAAAAGTATTCTGTTGACCACATAAAATGGAGGTAGATACAGGGTATGATGTATTATCTATAGCCATTTTTCCTTTTTTAATAATAAGTTTTGTTTTTTGTTTTAGAATATTAATTTATAGTCATTTGAATTCAGTAGTTACCCAAATCCCATGTGACAGTATATGAATCACCTGAGTATATAAAAAATATAAAATACTGGACTCCACCCAAACCTAACGAATCAAAGTGTCTTGAGGTTGGGTCAGGAATGTGTATTTTTAAAAAGTTCTCAGGCTTTGGCTGGGAGTACAGACTTGGGTTTGATCTCCAGTACTTCAAACAAACAAACAAAAAACTGGAATGATTTTAAAGGAAAAACAAACAAAAAACCAAAAACAACATTCCCGAGTCCCTCCCAGAACCATTTATCAGAATTCTTTTTTTTTTTTTAAATATTTATTTTTTAGTTTTCGGCGGACTCAACATCTTTGTTTGTATGTGGTGCTGAGGATCGAACCTGGGCCGCACGCATGCCAGGCGAGCATGCTACCGCTTGAGCCACACCCCCAGCCCCATTTATCAGAATTCTAAAGGACAGTCAAATTTGGGAACCTAGAACAACTTTTCACATCTTTGTATTCCATTAATTCCTATATTTTGTATACCAAATGATCAGAACAAAAGTGTACTTTATCCTAGTAGGACTTTTAAAGGTTAAGAGATATAATATCACTTCTATCAAACTCTTTGAATCAAAATGCTTGTTGATGTAACGTAATCAAGGCCTTCTCATGAATAAGGCTTAATTTTATCAGTTTTTATTAATGAAGAAATAACTTGCTTGTGGTTTTATCAGTAAAAACTGTTAAAATTATGATTGGACCCCACCAGGAGTGCTTCTCCTTCAATACTCAAGAACCACTGAACTAACTGGACAAGAAGGTCTATCACAGCAAAATATATGAATGCTCTAGTCAGCCAGGTCACTGATTTTTGAGTCCTCAATCTCTCCATTTCTTGTTGAAGATTTCTAGACTCAAGTAATAGTTGATGGGCTGGGGTTGTAGCTCAGTGGTGGAGTACTTGCCTAGCACATGTGAGGCGTTGGATTTGATCCTCAGCATCATATAATAAACAAACAAGTAAAATAAAGATATTATGTCTATCTACAACTAAAAAAACAAAACAAACAAAAGTTGGAAATTTACCTCTTCTGAAGAACTCATTTTACTCCCAGTTAATCCAGGGACCATTGGATTCATTAGATGAACTCGTTTTGAGTAGCCAAGTGCAGGGAGGTACTGAGAGATTAGAAAGGAACACACAAAAGCAGATATTAGTATAAATTCCGCCTCAGTGCCCTGATTTCATCTAACTTGTCCAGAAACTTAACAGGTTGCTACATTCTTTTTTAATGTTTTTTTTCCTTCTTCAATATTTAAGAGTTTCCAATAGTGATCATAATGTGAACAGTTTTTTTCCCCTAGTGCTTTTTTATTATATTACATTATGAGGCTACTGAATTTATCCTCCTATCATAAACAACTGTAACAGCTGGAAATACATAAAAATTTCAATTGCAGGCATCGGACAGCAAGCAATGTGGGGTTATAAGACTTGAGATAAGGAAGTTCACCCAGCTTTCTACCTGAGAACGTTTTCCAAGCTAGGTGCTGAGAAAAAGAGATCCAGGTGGCAGCTACAGTCTAGGCAGAGGACACAGGTACTGGAGTTCAGGCTGTAAGGAAGCTAGGATTTGGGATGGATTCTAGAGAGAAGGACTCTGATGCCCTGAAAAAAAACTTAGGTCAAAATTCCCCACTGATTTCTTAGCTGACTAATAGCTCTCATGCACATGGTGAGATTTCAGGAAGCCTGGCAGATAATAGGCTCTGGGAGACTGGAGACCCTTGCTAAGATTTACATGATGCAGAGAACTTGAAAGATAGGCTGAAGTGTAGGTTCAATCAAAGTAAAGAGGGATAGGTGAATACCCCAAGATTTTAGCTTGAATCCTCCTCCTGGAGGATCTTGAGTTCAAAGCCTACCTTAGCAAAAGGGAGGCACTAAGCAACTCGGTGAGACCCTGTCTCTAAATAAAATACAAAATAGGGCTGGGGATGTGGCTGGCCCCTGAGGGTCAATCCCTGGCACAATTTTTTTTTTTTTTTAAAAGGTGTTTTTCAGGCAAAAGAAAGCTGAAAGAATTCATTCATTGCTGAAAGACCTGTACTATAAGCACAGAATACTAAGGGGCCTCTCCAGGATGCAGGAAAATGAACTCACATGAAAGCATTAGAAGCAAGGACTGTAGGAAGGAATCCAGGGTATCAAAGGGTTTATGTATAACATAATGCACTAATAAAAACATTAAAATATAAAGTCTTTGATATTTAAAATACATGTAAAACGTAAAATCATGACAATAAAGGCACAAAGGACAGGAGGGAGTTAACCCATTATGTTCCATTATCCTATATGTAGGATACCTACAGAAAGTTAAATTGAGCAAATTTATAGGTGGCTTATAAATAGGATGATGGAATATAATGGGTTAAGTGAAGGTTCTTGCACTGTTGAGAATTTGTGAAAACATTTAACTTCAACTGTAATAAGTTACAAGGATACATGTTATGATCTATAGGGCAGGGGAGGCAAAACTTTTTTGTAAATGGCCAGATAATAAGGATTTTCAGCTTTGTGGGCTGTGTATGGTCTGTACTGCATATTCTTCAACTTTTAAAAATTGTCCTTTAAAAATGTAAATATCATTCTTAGCTTGTGAATCATACAAAAACAAGCTGTGAATTGAATCTTTGGAGATTACTAAACGGT